CAAACAACCAATGAGGTACTCTACATAGGATAAGGCATCAAAGATCAGGCAATTCTATCATACGATTTCTGAGGATTCCTATATTATTACTAGCATGCTGTTCTAACATATCACATAATATCAAATAACATGTATGGTATTTTGGGGTCTACTTACTAGCTCCGGTTGATCGTACGCTTCGCATCCTCCTTTCTTATTTTGAAAACCATTTAGATCATTTTGAAAATATTTTCCTTAGTTTGAGACTGGATTCACACGAGTGTTCCTCCAATTCACTCAAACCAAGGCTCTGATACCAACTTGTAACACCCCTAAAATTTGATCCAATTTAAAACTTTTTAAATTATATAAAACCATTCAGTTATTACAGTTTGTTTTCAAAATAGTTTGGACATCAGAGTTCCCAGAAATCATAATCATAAATCGAGGAAATGTACGGTCACGCCTTCGCCTTTCCGCGGTCATCTGCTGAACCTGAAACAATAAACTGAAACTGTAAGCCCGAAAGCTTAGTGAGTTACCCCCAAGATACCAACCTCATACAACCATAACATATCATATAACAAACACATAACAACCATGCATCTCGAGTTTACAGTGTGACTGGTCCGCCCGCACTGGGCCTTCAGTCCACCTGGTCCACTCTCTGAGTCTACAATCTGACTGGACTGCCCGCGCCGGGCCTTTAGTCTATCTGGTCCACTCTCCGAGCCTCGACACATCTGGACCGCCTTCTCGGGGCCTTCAGCCTATCCGGACCGCTCGCCAGGCCTTCGGCCTGACTAGATTTGCCCGTCCCGGGCCTGCAGTCTACCCGGTCCGCCCAGGGTGTCTTGGCCTACTGCACACAGCAGGACCTTCCTCAACCCTTTCCCCCATACCAATCAAACAATCATGTGCACATAAATATCATTCGCTAGCATGTATATGACAGATAATCATACCGATCTAACAGATCACTAGCATAGCAACCATCCTATAACCAGGATACCGACCTAACCGGTCACTAACATAACATCATCCTATATACCAGGATATCGACCTAAACCAGGTCACTAACATAATACCATCCTAACTACCAGGATGCAGATCTAGCAGATCAATAAACATATCAACAAATACCCAAATACAAATCCGATAAAGGGCCAACCTTGGTGCCTTAGACCCTGTTTATATAGTGAGGATAACTCACCTCCCAAATGTCGCACTGGACTGATAGGCTAAACTCTCGAATCACCAACACGAACTCCACCACCTACAGTTACCATAAAACCCTTTTTCATAAATTTCCAAATTACCAAAATACCCCCAAAGGTCAACTGGTCAACTGATCAACCCTTGGTCAAAGCCAAAGCCAACAGTCAAGGTCAACAGTCCATGTTGACCCGACTCGTCGAGTGCACTTTACCGACTTGTCGAGTCCTTCCTGAACTCGAGAGGTCGTGAAATCCTTGGTTGACTCGTCAAGTTTTCCCCGCAACTCGCCGAGTTCATGCGTGTACAAGGGTTGGGGAAAAACCCTAGCCGACTCGCCGAGTCATTCGATTGACTCGCCGAGCCCAAGGCAATATTCAACGGACTCGCCGAGTTGTTCATCCAACTCGTCGAGTACATGACCATCTTCATATGACTCGCCGAGTCGACCTTGCGACTCGCCGAGTCCCATCAATCCTTCAACCATACATATGCTTTTTAGGCCATTTTAAGTTTCCATACTACAGATCCAACTTCCAAAGGTATGTTTATCACGTAAAGTTGCAAACTTTACGTGCATGCAAGGCTCTATAGGCTTAGAATGTCAATCCCAAGCTTACAATGGAGTTGATCTCAACATGGAGGGTTCATGCTTGCTAAAGCTGGAGACTTTATGGCTCTAGGGTCCAAGATGAGCTCAGATCTGAAGTTGCGACTTCAGATCCTAGCCCATACCCAAAAATGGTTATCACCCATGCTATAGAAGCCCTAATCTTCAACATGAAGAGATCTAGAAAGAACAAGGTCAAGTTAACAACTTGTTACCTTCAAATGATGCTAAACTGAGGCAGACTTCAGATCCCCAAACGTTCTTGCCTCCAACTTATTGATCTTCAATCTTCTAGCAACAAAATCTTCTTTCCAAGCTTGAAATGTACACTAATATGGAGCACACACACGAGTTAGGGTTTCTGGACTCTTAAGAGGCAGTAAAGGGAGGCTAAGGGGAAAATGATCCTTTAAATAGGGTGAAAAACCCCGGAAATTAGGGTTTCATCCTCCAGCTCCTACTCGTCGAGTCCCTTCTTGGACTCGACGAGTAGGTCACTTAGGTGCGCGGCCTAACCCGCTGCTACTCGACGAGTCAGGCAACCAACTCGTCGAGTAGACCTTGAATCCATGAGAATTTATCACCATAAATTGATATTCGAGAATCGGGGCATTACACTCTCTCCAAAAATATTAATCAAAATGACATCATCTTCATCATCCGATTCGACGGCTCTAGAGGAGGCTAAGTTTATCGGTTCCGTCATGGCGAAAACGGTTGCATACTTTCAAAATCGACTAGGCGAAACACACGTGCACGATCTAAACCAAGAAAGTCGCGGTTGCGTAGAAATCGCGAAGCCGGACATGATCGTCTTATAGAAGATTACTTTGCAGATGACGCCATCTACGCTGTAAAGTTTCGACGTCGGTTCCGGATGAGGAAGGAACTATTCTTACGTATTGTTGGCGATTTGGAAGGCCGCTTTCCATATTTCCAATGGAAAATGGATGCGAGACGGATAAAAGGTTTCTCTCCAATTCAAAAATGCACGGCTGCAATTCGTCAGTTAGCATACGGCATGGGCGCAGACAAATGGGACGAGTATTTTAGGATGTCAGAACGTACCGTGCGGGTGTGTGTGTACAAGTTCTGTAAAACGATCTGTTTGGTTTATGAGCAACGATATTTGCGCAAACCAACTATGAACGATATCCACCAATTGTACACGGTGCATGAAGGCATGCATGGATTCCTTGGAATGCTTGGTAGTATCGATTGCATGCATTGGAGTTGGTCATTATGCCCCAACACATGGCGTGGTCAGTACATGAGAGGCGACCACAAAGATACGACGATCGTTCTAGAGGCTATCGCATCACATGATCTTTGGATATGGCATGCATTCTTTGGTCCAACTGGTGCAAACAATGACATCAATATGCTAGACCAGTCGTCGGTATTCAACGATATCTACCTTGGAAAGCCGCACGATGTACATTTTCAAGCAAATGGGGTAGCATATAAGCGTGGATACTATCTTACTGACGGTATATATCCTCCCTTGTCTGTTTTTGTGAAATCGTTTACATGTCCTAACGACCCGAAAAGGAAAAAGTTTAAAGAGGCGCAAGAGTCAGCTAGGAAGGATGTGGAGCGAACATATGGTGTACTTAAGAGACGTTGGCAAGTACTAGCAGTCGGGGCAAGGTCATATGAAGTGAAAAGGTTATAGCACGTAATGTATGCATGTATCATATTGCATAATATGATTCTTGAAGACGAAGGAAGAGCGATATGTCGGTACAACGAAAATGAAGTTTTGCCAAATGTCGAAGGAGTAGCCGTTGGTACACAAGAGTATAGGGCAAATAGAAGAGAAGTACACAATCGCGACATTCATCACGCCCTTCGTGCTGATTTGGTGGAGCACATTTATAGGGCTCATATTCATCCGCCGATAGAGTATTGTCACGATGATTTGTTTGACGAATCGGACGAGGATTCTGATATTTTCGTCGAGAGCGAAGATTCCGATGACAAGAGTGACGTTCAGGAGAATGATGAAGACGATGCAGTCGATGACGATGACGATGATTCCAAACGACGTATTTTGGTTTTTTTAAAATTAGATTATTAATTATGTTTTCTCTGTTGTGGTTTGTTTGATTTTTTTGTTTGTGTTTTTTTTTTAATTTTCTATTTATTTAAATATTAGGTTTAATGTAATTTTTATTTTAATTAATGAAATGCTTTTTATGTTTAATATTAATTTAAAAATCATAAATCATAAAAAAGAATTAATTTTATTTAAAAAAAATAAAAAATCAAAATAGTAAGGGAAGTTTCCCACCCATTCTTTGGGTTTAAGTGAGTGAAAAGAGTGTTGTGACCCACAAAAAGTGAGAGAAGTTTCCCACCAACACCTTTCGGTAACGATGTCCTTCTTGGGCTATCTATAAGGTTGAATTTGTAGAACACTAAAAAAACAATTTATCGGTTTATTTTGTTTTTGTAGTGCATAAGTTTATCCAAACTTTTTTTTTTTCTTAAACTTCTTTCTGATTCCGGAATAATCTAATAATCACTTCGAAAAAAAAAAACTGTTTTAAATAAGCAGGTTGCAAACAGGCGGAAAGTTATTCAATTTCAAACATGTTTAGAGCAAAATTTATTGATTTTTGTATTTTCTTTTTCTTTTTATAATAGCAATCTAATCTACTTCTAATTCCACATATCCTAATATGTCCCAAAGAGTACTTGAATTCTCAACCTAAAGGAAAGAGAACAACATATGATATCACTAAGCTAGATACATACGAAAACAAGTTTGAACTTTGAAATATATATAATAAGTTGGGTTGAAAGATGAAATGGATATGGGGTTTGTTTTTAAACCCATCACGAGTATATATCATATACATTTGCAACTCTTTTATATTTTCATTTTATATTTTTAATTTTATTAACTTGTTATAGTATTCATAAATATTTAATTTGAACAAAAAAATACCATTAAAGGAAAAACCTGATTATACAACGTTGTGAGAAATGAAAGTCGGATGCTATAATACACAAATATATGAAAGTAACATTGCTATTTCTTCCAACTAACATTTAACAAAAAAAAAACCATTTCATACTATACAACAATATATACATTATACATAATCATACATACAACATAAAATAAAAAAACCTGCTGACATGGCACTAATTATCATGTGATGATGATGATGAGGAATCCATTTCCAACTCAAAATAAGTAGGCTTTGGGGTTGAAGGGCAACCAAGCGACTGAATTAATTCATTGACTGATAAGACTTGAAACCTTGGAGGGGCATTTAAGGCAATATTATGGACACGATGTTCATAAATCTTACCGTGCTTATCCAGCTTGTACTCTGAGGTACCATCAAATCTTCCACGCTTCTCCCATGGGACCCGTGGGACCCCGTAAACTGTCCACCTAATCATGATTGTGCTTTCCACTGGTTGCCATACACTTATGATGTCAACCCATAACGCTTTGAACAAGATCTTCCCATTCAATCTTAATGCCCAAAATATCGATTTGTAATTTTTTATTCCAAAAAACGTGTTCAGTGGGTCTTTAAAGACAATATCCTCCCTGTCATCACACACACACAAAAACAGAAAACTAAGTTCAAACTTGTAAAATAGCAACCAACTTTTTATTTTACCTACAATATTTACTATTTTGCAAATTTCTACTGATTTAGGGAATATGTAAGGTGATTAGATAAAAATTATAAAGATGATGACGTGGCAATGGCAATGGGTTTTTGCCATGTCACCGTCCTGGTTATTTTCCATGTATACAAAAACAATGACATGGATTTTCTTAAATTTAAATACATTGCAAAGATTTGATAAAATTTCTGAATAGGCTTAAAAATCCATGGGAACATAGGAAAAGCTAAAAGTAGAGGTATAATATGAGGAAGTATGCTTGTTAGGCAACAAAGAAAGCTGCTTTTACCTAATTATTACTAAAGAAGAACAAATTAACCAAAAGAACCAACAATTAAGTTGACACAAACACAAAACAGAATATCAAATCATGAACAACTCAATCAACCAAGTATAAAAAATTAGAGAATTGAATCATTGATTAAATCAACAAGTAAATTGAAGATTGAACAGTTGGCAACATATATGTCTACTGTGACGTGTGTTCTTGCTCACAATTAACTTGAAGTAGTTATCAATTAGAACTTGTCTTTCTTTGTGTTGTGGAAATATGAACATAGCTCACCTCACATGGAAGACATAATTACACCTGACAGGCACAAGATGATGCATATGTGGACATTTGCACACCTCACATGCCATTTACAGCATTTTTGGAGAAATGACAAGAAATTAGTTTCAAAATTGAACAAAAAGCACCAATTCCGGTTCCAATCCATGAATCCCATCCCGCAAAGACTATCTTAGAAAACTACAGCAGGATGATCCTTAATACCCAATGCCTTCGTTAATTCTATGTTCGTAACTACTGCAAGACTGAACTAGAAAGATTCATATGGAACTTTTGAAAATTAGCATTGAACTGTTATCGAATTAGGGCTAGCTGTTTACCAAAATTCAGCACTGATTCTATTCTTTGTTCACAGAAGAACACTCAAGAAGATTTTACACGACGAAAACGAACTCAAAACCTATCAAAAGCATATCAAACTGAATCATAGTATCATACCTGTATATATCAAAACTGAGCTCTCTATAAAACAACTCCGGGAACTCCTCTCGAAGCGTACGAATCGCATGTCCAGTGTTCACATAATAATTCTGCTTCTCCTCATCCTCTTTACTCGGCTTCACCGACGTCGCCGCTGAATTACGCGTCCCTTTAACATCAGTTAAAACCCAGGGCTCCAAATCCTTGATCCTCGAGCAAACCTTAACCCTAATTCTTCTTCTGTTGTTTCTAGCTTTCGGAAGTCCGTTAGGATCGGGACTAATCGTATTAGTATTTGTGATCGATTGAAACTTGGTCGGCGAATTGGCATGAAAAAATCCAGAGATTGAGTGTAAGAGAACGGCCATCGGAAAAGGTGAGAAAAACTTCCGGCGAGGTTCGGATTGATTTTAAGGGGGGTGTGGTCATTTTTATTTCTGGGGGAAGAGATAGAAAAGTCAAAAACAGAATATCTCTATTTTCATTCCAAAAACTTTAATAAATTGCATTTTAACCCCTATATTATATTCTAGAATCTAGAAGTTTATTACTTTCAAGTTCAACTCTTCTTTTTCCAAGTAACAACTATTGTCGACCAACAATCACTAATTCGTTTGGTCGCTAATTCCTTGACTTAGGACGGCTTTTGAATACGTGATTCAATTCATTTGGTCACTTTTCTAAGTTTCGTTTTAGCAAAGTTTGTTTATATGACCAGTTTGATTAAAATCGACTTTATTATTAATATAATGGATCGAAATTATTACCTTTATTTGGAATAAAAGAAAATTGTATACCACAAAAACTTATACTAACAAAAAAGCAAAGGAAGCAACCATTGCAATTTGGATTTTTTTTTCCCTATTATATATAAGCACAACTCAAACCCAAGAGTATAGATGCACCATGAAAGCACGATAATTTAAAAAAAAAATGATTTAACCACATTCTCAGAATCCCAACGACCATGACCTTGAGGAAATTATCTAGATACTATATAGAGATAGTATCAAAGGTGTATTTTATTACTTTGAATACGCATACAATGTGTCATATATAGCCAACGTAAACTAACATATATGAGCTAATCTAGGAACGATTACAGGTAAATTACAGTTGGTATTGACTAATGTTTACACATAAATAATCTAAATATATAAAAGATATTGATGAAATATTACCTCTTAATACGCCCCCACAAGATGGAGGATCCATCGGAGACTCCAATCTTGGAATGTAAACGTTGGAAGGGACCACGAGTAAGAGGTTTGGTCAAGGCATTAGTCAATTGATCAAAAGAGTTGATGTGGTGAACTCGCAAGGATCCATCCATGACTTTTTCCCGAACAAAATGGTAATCTAGTGCAACGTGCTTCATGCGGGAGTGATAAACTGGGTTAGCACATGAATATGTAGCTCCTATATATTGTCACAATATAAGATAGGAGGTTGCGAGGAGTGGATCCCCAAATCGAGCAGAAGATTTTGAACCCATGTTGCTTCAAATGTTGCATTAGCCAATGATTTATATCCTGCTTTAGTGGACGATCTAGAAATTGACTTTTAACGAGCGTACTGCCATGAGATAATGTTGGAGCCAAGATATAACAGGTAAGTTGTAGTGCAACGACCTTCACGTTCAATTCCTCCCCAATCAGAGTCATAGAAGGCTTTGAGATCCATGGATGACCCACGACGGAGAAAGAGACCATGATGGATTGTGCCTTTTAAATATCTGAGAACTCTTTTTAACGAATGCCAATGAATTTCCAAGGGAGAGTGCATGAACTGTGATAGCTTATTGACAACGAAGTAGATATCTAGTCTTGTGAATGCCAAGTACCGGAGGGAGCCCACTAACTTCCGATAGGGTGTTGGATCGATACTTGCAGACGTGTCTTGTGATTTGAGAGTAATTGAAAAGTTTAACGGGTTGCTACCTCCTTCACTCCATCCATGTGAAAATGTTCCAAAAGATCCTGAATATGTCGATGTTGATAGAGAAAGAGACCATTGAGTTATTGTTGCCAACGAAAACTAAATCATATATATAGACAAGGAGATGGCTAAGTGTGTCATTGTGGTTGTAGATAAAGAGAGAGGGATCAACCCTAGATTTACGAAAACCAACAGAAAGAAGGAAGGTGGTGAGCTCAATGTACCATGCTCGTAGGGCTTGTTTAAAGCCATAGAGAGATTTTTTTAGTTTGCAAATATGAGAGGGAAATTTAGGATGAACAAAGCATGGGGGGTTGAGTCATAAAAACTTCCACATGAAGCGTGCCATGTAAAAAGGCATTGTTAACATCCAGTTGTCGGAGTGGCTAGTGGTAAGAAAGGGCCATGGAAAGGACTGTACGAATAGTGATTGGTTTGGTGACAGGGCTGAAGGTGTCAAAGTAATCCTTACCATATTGTCAAAGAAGGCCTTTAGCAACCAAGTGAGCTTTGTATTTTGAGATGAAACCATCTAGGCTGTGTTTGATATTAAAGATCCATTTGCATCCAACTGGAGAATGAGAGGCTTTAGGAATTAGTTCCCATGTGGCATTTTGGATCAAGGCATTGAATTCTTTATCCATGGCATGACGCCATTGTGGATCTTTGAGAGCTTGAGTATGAGTAGTAGGTTCATCAGTGGTTGGAATTGGGTTTAGTATGTCTGAATTGATAAATGAGGGGTTGAAATATTTTGGATTTTGTTTGTGAATGCGGGGTAGAGTAGGTTGTAGAGGAGATGGAGTGGGTTTGTTGTGAGGAAATGAGACAGTAGAGAAGTCTGATCTTGGTAAAGAGGAAGTAGGCGAGGAGGGTGATGTATCAAGTGTAGAGGGGTGAACAATTTCGTTGAGAGAGATATTTGGAGGAGTGATGGATGTGGGGGTTTTGTGATAGGGGGAGGAGGAGTTGGTGATATAAGAAGGGTGGTTGATGTGTTTGATTCAGTTGTATGTGTGGTGGGTGTGTTAGGATGTTAATCCTTGAAAATATCGTTTAGATTCAAACAGATTTAAAGCAAAGAACACAACGATGACTCGAAATATGTTGAAAGATTGAAAGTCAGCCCTCAGAAGAACTCGACAAAGAATTGCTACTGTAGAGGCGTGATTAGGGTAACATAATTATATCATAGTTACCAAACACGATGCATGCATGCATCTTAAATACTCTAACCCTAGATAATAAATACGGGAGGGCAGGCCCAACCCGTTTACAAAACAGTCTATACATAAGGCCCAATGACGCAACACAATATACCCAACAATCTCCCCCTTTATGTCAATGAGCGAGAGTCCTTCAAGGTTAAGTTCGGTTTTGTACTTCGTAGACCTTAGGAATAACACTCAACAAGGTCTTGCGAACCTGAATGTACCATTGAACCATGTATGGGAAACATTTGATGTCTCGTTTGTTGTTGCCCTTGAATTTGGTGACCAGATCCAAAATGAACTCAAGGCAGGAAGTGTTGTATAGATGTTTGTCTGGGAGGGAGAAGCAGGTCTTGCGAAAGTCAGCATTGCTTCGTTCTCTAGCCTGAAACACCACATACCATCCCTCTTTGTGAATCTTTCCAATCTTCCACTTCTCAAATCCTTCAGGAGATTCTTTAGGAAGAACAGAGGGCTTCCTTCGCAGTACAACTTGTAACGCCCGTGTTTCTAGGCTAGGCATTAATATTGACATAATAGTCTAGGTTAACCTTTGTAACTCATTTTGAAGAAATGAAAAGGAATTATGTGAATATTATGTGAATTATGTGTTTTATGCTTAATTATTAGGATTTAATTAATTAAGAATAAAAATGAGCGTCGAAAATAAATATTAGATAAAGCCGATATCTATTAAGAAAGTTGTAGTGGTCGTGACAAGGATTACGGATATATAAAGAATACCGAAATTCGAGTTATAACGAAGAAGTTATGACCTGTCGAAGTTTCGCGACAAAACCGGCACGGTGCCGAATGACGTAAAAAGTGAGTTTTTGATAAACTACTTTTTAGCCTTAGTGATATAAACGAAAGTCGTAGTTTTCGTTAAACCGAGAGTATGTATAAAAAGAACGCCCAAATCTGACTTCGTATGAGGAAGTTATGATTTTTCTAAGTTTCAGCTTAGTAGTAGACAGCTAAAAACTCGAATTTTTGATCGAGTGATTTTTAGCCGACAAAACCTAAATAAGAATCGAAGGTCTCATCAATAGTAGTACAGCGGTAAAAAGACAGACGAAAACGGACATCAGATGAAGAAGTTATGAATTTTTAACGGATTTCCTGTCCCGGTCTGTTAAAAATAACAATATAAAAATTAAAGTCAAAATTAGCCGACGAAGTCTAAACGAAAGTTGTAGAGCGTAATTTTACCTACGCGTGCATATAAAGAACGTAAAAAACAGAGCCCGTATGCGAAAGTTATGGATTTTAGAAGTTTTGGCACAAAAATCGAGAAAAAAATACCAAATCCGAGAAATTTTGCATGGTGGGACTTCGGCCACGTCACCTTCGCTCATAACGCGCCACGTGTCCGAAATTGCTGAGTCATCCGAAGCCATGGCGCATCCGAGGAGTGACGCATGTGCAGCCTCGTCCGAGCCTCGCTCCCCCTGCCGCGTGTCCGACCTTCGCACAACATGTCCCCCTTCCCTCTTGATTCGGATCCGAACCTCGGACCTAGACCTCGGTCCAATCAGAGGCCAGCAGCTGGACCCTCGCACGTGCGAGCCATGTGCCTGACCTTCGCATCTGCTGCCGCGTGGAGTCCTCTCAGCCGTCCGATCAGAAGCCTCGCCCCTATAAATAGAAGGGTGCGAGACCTCCCGGGGATAATTTGGAAATTTGACATTTTACACCCCTAAACCCATATTTCTTTCATTCCAACTTCCCCCAAAGCCCCGGTATTATACCAAACACCCGAAACACGTCCCGAAGTGCCCGAGAAGCCCGAGAAATTTATTTTTTCGGTTTTTAAGCCCAACCCTCGCAGAGCCCGGTTTCTCAATAAAACTCCCGGTTTTATTAGAAACGATCGTTTTAGGAAACGAAGTGCTGCCCGATTATCATTAAATCAGGTGAGTGTGTAGTCACTTTGACCTTACACATAGATATGAAGTATTTACCTTAAAATACGTGCTATGTGTAATTATATTAATTGTTTATTTGAGGTGACTGTTGAATAGATGTTTTATACAAGTTTTAAACTGTATATGTATTTTATCTACAAATATGTTGGGTAAAACATGGGTAGTCGAAATAGTCGATGTGTGTTAAAATGGAGAGAGGCCTCGATGTTTTGTTTTTGTTGTTGTTGTTGTTGTAGTCGTCTAGCGGAGTATAGATGACGACCACAGACCTTTCTAGACAGTCCAGTGGAGCACTAGCAGGTTCGCAACTTGTAGGTGTTGGTGAACTAAATGTTCATTAGCGTACTCCATCCCCCTCATGGTTGCCTTTAGGACAT